GATTTCTATTACAAGACAGAATACAAAGTGCACAGTGCGCACATTATTTTTATTACAAATATTAGCACTGTAAAAAACAAAAGAAATAGTATTTTTTCAATTCACCTCATACATGTCCTGTAGCGCAATGTCTTTATCGTGAGAGTGCAACTTACAAATGTCGTTTTGTTTTTTAGTGCATTTATGTAACAACAACAAAAACAAGTCCACTCAGTCTTATTTCTGGTTCAGCCAATTGCTAAGACAAACAAGTTTGTTTATATTTATGGGAGATAATGCTGCCCCGTTCTTATTTACAATGTCACCAGAAAGTTAGAACAGGTGTTCACATGGGACTTTTGTAGCCGGCATTGCAAGGTCTTTACGTGCCAGATATGCTAAACATTCATATGCCCCTTCATGCTTCAGCCCCCATTCCAGAGGCATGATTCCATGCTGATGATGCTCATTAAAAAAAGAATGTGTTAATTAAATTTGTGACTGAATGCCTTGGGTTAGAATTGTATGTCTCCAGCTCTGTTTTACCCACATTCTGCCATACATTTCATGTTATAGCAATCTCGGATCATAACTCAGCACATGTTGGTTTTAAGAACACTTTTGTTGCAGATTTGACAAAAAGCAAAGAAGGTACCAATGAGAGATTTCTAAAGATCGCTACAGCACCTGACCCAAGGTTTAAGAATCTGAAGTGCCTTCCAAAATCTGAGAGGGACGAGGTGTGGAGCATGCTTTCAGAAGTCTTAAAAGAGCAACACTCCGAAGCAGAAACTACAGAACCCGAACCACCAAAAATGAAAATCAACCTTCTGCTGGTGGCATCTGAATCAGAGAATGAAAATGAATATATATTGGTCCGCACTGCTTTGGATTGTTGTTGAGCTGAACCTGTCATCAGCATGGACACATGTCCTCTGGAATTTTGGTTGAAGCATGAAGGGACATATGAATCTTAATTTTTTTAATCATGCAATTAATCACGATTAATTTTTTTACTCGCTTGACAGCCCCTAATTTATTTTATAATTATATGGTAATAATGAGAAAGTAAGCAATTTTTCAGTAATAGTGTGCTCTGACACACTTGTATTTTTAGATCTGATTTTGTAAGCAAGTTGTTTTTAAGTGAGGTGAGACTTGGCGTATGCACGACAAATCAGACTCCTGGAAATTAGAACAGTAGTCTGGAAAGGTTGAGATGGGGAAGACAAGGACTCCTTGACGTCAGAGGTGAGTTGCTACCACAGAGAAACCCTTTGTGAAGGCTCTCAGGGGAAGCGGTAAGTCCAAGTGTCAATGGTCCATCTTGAACCTCAGGAACTGCCTGTGAGTCAGAGGTATGTAGATATAGAAATAGGCATCTTGCATACAGAAAGCCGTAAACCACATGCCTTTTTCTAATGAAGAAATGATGGCCGCAAGCGCAACCATGAGGAATTTTGGCTTGTGAATCGAATGGTTGAAGTGTTGGAGATCCAAGGTTGGTCTCCATCCCCCTTTCTTCTTGGGTACCAAGAAGTAGTTGGAGTAGAACCCTGTGCCCTGAAAGGCTGCAGGGGGTAGTTTCACCATTCCTCCTGCAGAAGGGAGTCCACCTCTAGGTAAAGAATATTGTCAGGACAGTGATCCTGGAGAAGGGATCAGGGCAGAGATGCACAATAGATTCAATGGTACAGCTGTGTCGAATAACGTCCAGGACCCACTTGTCCGTTGTTGTTGCTCTCTATGCTGGCAAAAGAATTTGAAACAGCCCCTAAAAGGGGTGGTTTGTACGAGTGTTGGTGTATGGAGTGATTGACGGCTCTCTAGTCGCATTTTTCACAATGACTAAGTGTGTTGTCCAGAGGTCTGCATTGCCGGAACAGGCAGATGGGTTCTGTGTACCTTAGGCCATTTCTGAGGAGGCTCACAGGCTCATTGATGGTAAGTGTGGAGTTATGTAGGTGTCAGGTGATAAAATTTTCACTTTGGAGCTAGTATATTGTAAGGTGGCTTTAGAGTCTTTCAGTAAGGAATCATCAGTCTTTTGTTTGAAGAGCTGTGATTCACCAAAGGGAAGGTCTTCAATTGTATTTTGTACCTCTCCAGGGAAACATGAGGAATGTAACCAGGATTCCCACCTCATGACGACTCCAGCCAATACTCAGGAGGACATGTCTGCTGAATCAAATGCAGCCTGAAGTATTAACCTGGTGACCAACTTGCCTTCCTGTAAAACTGTTTGGAATCAGGAATGATCCTACTGAGGTAATCTATCTGCAAGCTCTGCCATTCATCCATAGTTTATAAAGTCATACTTGGCCGTAAGTGTCAAGTAGTTAGAGATCTGGAACCATAGTCCAGTTGAGGAGACCTTTCGAGCCATAAGGTCCAGTCTCTTGCCCTCCTTGTGTGTCAGGCTGGAGTGTGGATGCTGCTGTTTGGTCCACTCCAACACAGCCTGGATCACCAGGGAGTTAGGTGGAGGGTGTGAGAATAAAAACTCAAATGCTTTGTGGAGACATAGTACCTTTTGTCAGTCCCCTTTGGGGTGGGGGTGCATGTGCCTGGGGTATGCCATATGGTGCATGGTGGTTGAAGAATGGCATAGTTGATTGGTAAAGCCACCGTTGCCTGTACTGATGCATGCAGATTAATGTCTAGTAACCAGTGCTGACCATCCTGCACCTCTTCTAGTGGGATCTCAAGAGCATTGTCTATCCTTCATAATAGCTCTTGAAACTGACAATAGTCCTCTGGTGGGAAAGAGGGTGTTGATGACAGCCACATCTAGGGACAATGAAGGGAATCTCTCTGGATCCGTCGGCACCGGGCTGACTGGTGCATCGTATAACCCCAGTTCCGAGCGTCTACTCAATGAAGGATCAGATGGCGATACAGGAGAATCCTCCCATGCTGAACAAGATGGTTCCGAAGTCAAATATTGAGGGCCATGAGCTCCAATATGGCCAACCTAGTTGACCCTGCTGCAGTTGCATCAGTGCCCAAGGAGCCGGATACCTGTGCTCCTTGGCTGCAGTAAAGAAGCAAACTGCCACAGTGCCACCACAACCCTGAGGTAGTCATGTCTCCAGAACGGAAACGGTCCGGACCATGTCAAACATCCAAATCCTCAGACTCAGAGCAACTGGAGCCCTGCACACATGGTGGTGCCAACAGAGCCATCAGAACGGGATGCATTAAAGAGGTATGGCCAGCAGGTGGTAGATCTAACATAGGACATGGGGCCCTCTGAACAGGTGACTGCAATGGAACACGCAGAGACCTCTCTCTTTCCAGAGCAAACTGTTTATGCGGTCTGGGAGCACTTCCAAGTCTCCCCGGAGTCAATGGTACCCAGTCTATGGACAGAAACAGACTGGTAAAGGGATCGGTCTCAGGACTGAAAATTCACGGGACACCGGGGGAGCCAAAGCAGAAGGGGTACATGGTTCTGGAACTGGGACCAGCAGATCCAGCGAACCGTGCGGCCTTTTGTCATTCTCATGGGCATTGGAATGCATCGTTCCTCTATGGTCAGAACTCGTGGATGGTGCACCATGTTTCTTGGATCTGGAGGAAAACTTACTGCCATGCTTATGTGCAAGCTTTCGTGGCTCATGGCTAGGCCTTGGCGTGGTGTTTATAGCACTGTTACTGATGGAGCCTGATAGAGGCGCTGCAATAGGGGGAGAACTCTTAGATTGTTCAGACCAATGTACAGGGGGGGTTCACCTGCCAGGATCTGACTGTCGCCTAATTGCAGTACCCATGAGGTTCTTTTTCAGGCAGAGAGCTTAGCCCTCAGTGGAATCCAATAGGGACCTTCACTCAAAGGAGGAGGATTGTCTGAATATTCCAAGCACCAACGAGATGACTCACAATGGTCACCTAATCATTTTGCTTAAAGGTGACTTAGGGACAATGGCTCTGTCCCACTCCTCTCCTCAGACAGCCTATAAAACTGGTTTGACTAGGGGGACCAAAGCCCATGAACATGTGAAGAAATCTTTTGGAAAACAACCTTGCAGGGTTTAAAAGGGAAATTTCAGTGAGGCAGACAGAACACCAACTGAAACACGCTCAGCCATTAGGAACCCACCATGGTATCTGAAGAATGTAAGCCTGTCTAGGATGCCATTATGAAATAGTAGAATATCAGGTAAGAGAGAAATGCATATAGAATGTTTTAAAATCCTTCTCTCTTTAATGTTTTATTCCAGTGCTAAATCAAAATTCTTTAAGTAGGTTGTTGGTCTATATTATGGGTCAAAGATGCCCAAAGAGAGGAAATGCAGTTGCCTGAAACCCAACTGAACCTGCAGGGTGAAAAGCGGTTGGTATACATGGGATAGTGTATGCAAGTGCTGCTGGTCTGAGAGTGGCAGAATTGTGAAATTCCAAACAAGCAAAAATGAGCTAAAGACCCAAGATGTGAGGTGCATGCACTTAGAGACCAGAAAGTAGACAGAGATTTAGTTGGCCCTATAACAGGGATACAGACTTGTCTGGATTTGCATAAAATAATTCAATAAAATCACAACCACGTTAGATTGTCTGAGTTCAACTAGACTAATTGCATGACACTGCCACTGAGGACCAAAAGGTGTGTTTAACTCAATATATTGTAGTAAATAAGATGCCTCCATTAAGTTTTGGTTTGGTATTAAATTCTAGAAAGGGTTTATGCTATTTGGAATGATGATTTGTGCTTAGTAAACAGCTTTGATCTGAGAGGCATCTTGTACAGTGCAACTTGTCTCAGAGTATTTGCTTCAAAAACTTTAGAGACTTGCAGATCCAACATACAAAATATTGCAGTAATTAGACTAATGGACAAGAAAGGAAAAATTGTAACATTCCAAGATACGGTCTCTCTTCATTTTACTCAGGGGCAGGAATGGGGAAGAGGGTCTGATTTAATATTACTTCATGGTACAATATTTGGCTAATAATTGAATCATAGAAATTAGAAAACCTCAAGTTTTAAGCCAATGTGAAAAAAAGTCTTCAGAACTTACATTGACTTTGAAGCTTTGTACTGAGCCATCCAAAAAGTGGACATTACAGATGATCTCTGATCGGGTTTTCTCTTTTGGTAGTTCTGATGCTCGTATATTATTTATCCTCCCACCTAATGCTCGTAACCGGGAGTTCATAACTATTGCTGAATAACCTGTAAAACAAAAAACCATATTTGGTACATTCCTTAAGATACACTAAAGAGAACAGTTTCATCCATACTTTTCAGAGAATCACACAAACACACAACCCCCCACAACAAAGCAAGGCCCTGAATTACACACAAATGTTACACTAGTTCAACTAAAATGTGTTTAAAAAACCATTTAGTTAAGCCTGTTCAGATCCCTTATATAGGCCAATTGTAAACTAATAAAAGTTAGCTATGCAAGCCACTTATAATGAAAGTGTGTCCATACAGGGGCTTGCACAATTTTTAAACCAACTGTAGTTAAACCAGTATAAGTTGTTTGGACCAGTCTTATGTAATTACCTTAATTTTATAACAGGAATGTACACTCACTCTACATTACACAAAATGATTGATCTAAGCATTTAGAAAATGACCTTAGAAACCCTTTCTAATAAATTTGTTACACATATTCTGAAAGTATGCTTTGCAGAAACTCTACATTCTCTGTCCAAGTTTCATTCTACTAATTTAACTATTTTTTAGACTACAATAAAAACTAAGTGAAAGCTTAAAGTTGTGTCACACTTTCAAACAACATTTTGTTGCAGAAATGCAACAAATGATTATTCTTAAAGTACATGATTATAATTTTTTTCATACGATTGAAAATATAGACTCAGTCAATATGAAGCCAAGATGTTATGGCTACAGAGAACGCCCCCCACTCTGCCCCCACCTCCAAGATGGAAATCAGGTTTGGTTTCAAAATATTAAAAAAAAAAGATACCCAGAATGGGCAATCTTATAGTTTGTACAAACCAAAAAAATAAATATGATACAGCAAGGGAGGGAGTAAAAAAACAGTTACATACAGGGAATCTGTAAATATTTCAGTGAAGACAATCAAATCTCTTCACTACATCAGTTTGCCAACTGGCAACACAGATTGCAAAACTGGTTGTCAACTCACACACCAGATAATTGTATAGGTTAATTATCAACATTACCAAAGTTATTAGAGATTAGTTACGAGAATACTTGTAAAGTGAAGCCTCATTAGCCACCTGGGAAACATTCCAGAATTTTCTTTTTGTCAATTCTCCTCCAAAGGTTCAACTTGTTTTTCTTTTTTTTAAGAAGATCAGAAACTTTAAATTTTATACTAAAATTCTTGTAATAGGGTTGAATTGTCAAACATCTGTCCAAGGGATCAATGTTTAACTTCAATAGAAGTTTCATATAGGTCAAACACTTCTTTAAAAGCAAGTAGACAAATGAAAGTTAATTCACATTCATTCTGTTATATTGCTTAGCAAAGAAATGCTGAGTTAACAGAACACTGCATGGGCTCCTCTATAATGATTACCTGTTGCATCCCAGTTTCCTATGACTTCACCAATTAACAAACATGCATAAAGGAATATGGAGAAAACGGGGCAAGACAAAGCACACGGGGAAAAAAGCACAGCACGGCCAAGAGATGCAAAATTTCATAACGTACTAATATGTAGAGAAAGCCATGTAATTATTCATTTTTGCATAATATTATACATTTAAAACACTAGGACAATAATGTCATCCTCAAAAGAGAAGTCTGAGTCCTTAAAGTCATGCACACAAATATACACTGGCTTGGTAGGATTAGATTTTTTTAATGGTAAATGTCAATTTCATCACACACACACTAATTGATTACAAATATTTTCATCAATGATCATAAAAATTTACAGTTAGATAATGTAAGAAAAATGCTGTTTGAGAACTGAGTGTGATTTAAGGATATTTACTCTGTATATTCTGACATGTGATGTTAACTATTTACTTTTTAACAATTATAAAGCTTTAACTTTAACTCAACATCATTAAACATTGTCGGACTCTCCCCTCAATAATTTCCTCCAACTGTGAAAATTTAAATTGATCAAATGAAAAAAACAAACATTGATATTGTTCACTGACATTATTTAAAAAAAATCAAATTCTGCCAAATCTAAATATATGCTATGTCAGCTCTTAAATATTTATTCTTTATTAGCAAATTTACAGTTGATGTTTGAATATTTTGTAACATCAAGACCCATTTATAAATTAGTCAGACTCAATTCCTTATCCAGCATGCTGATTTTCACTGTTAAAGGGCAATGCTTCCTTTGTCATCATAGTGAAACAAATACAAAAATAAATCCTTTGCCATTTCTCATCTAAAAATAGTCATTTTTAAGTGCAATATGGAAAATTACTTCTATAAAGTATTACAGATCCAGTTCCTTACTTTAAAAATGCTGTTTTGAGAGATAATTAGTGTGTTTGTAACTAGTGTGTTAAATGAGATGTTTCTCATCCAGTGAGCACCATCTATTGTGTGGAATGAATGAGGCAGGGCTCTTGTCAAAAAACCAGTATGCAATCCTGGAATTAAAACTACCATAATGCATAAAGGGATGAATTATGGTTGCATGGGAACCTTAATTCTGGTATTTCTGAGTTCTAGACATTGCAACCTTAACTTTCTTTTAACTTTTTAAAAATATATATGTAATTCCCTAATAAAAAAAAAATCTAAACTGAAAACACATTCCATCATGTGGAACCATACTACCCCCCACGAGTCATCAACAGGGCTGAAACTTTAAATTCAAAGCACCAACCTCTTCCACTTGAATTCAGTAACTGGTAGCAGTAGTAGGCTATTCCATAGACCAGCCATTAGATGAGTAAGAATCACATTTTCCTAGTGTGATTCACAGCTATTTGCTGGACAGCAGAGGCATTTTGAGACTAAGGAATCCTGGGGGTCAATTCCATGTTCTGGAGGGGAGTATGTTCTACTGTTTACAGACCCGTCTGCCCCATGTGCCCCCACTCATCTCTGTGCCCCCCTCTGATCCTATGCCCACTCCCTCCCTTCATACTTCCTCTTCTCCCCTATGCTTTCCAGTCAGGATACCTGTGCTCCATCAGGGAAAACACAGAGCACACAAGAGTTTCCTGTTCTCAGTTCTGATGCCTGGTTCCCTTACTGCTGGGAAAAGTAAGCGAGGGGAGAAAAAAGGCCTGAGCAACCACAGCAGCCATGGAATGAAGGATGCTGAGTGCAGACAGTCTCTGGAGATTTTAGGTGCCAAATCCTAACAAGCCTCCACTAAGAATATGTGAATGTGATTTTCAGAGAGGCTTATAAGCTGGTTAAATTTGCACCCGTTACTTATCTTTTTGAGCTCTCCATATTAGAGGTAATAGAGTAGCGTTTTATCAGTGATCAAGGGCTATTAGATTAAATTGGGCAAAACACAAGGTCCATGTAAATAAAAGCAAGAGTGGTATATTACATTTATTATAGAAAGAACTGTTTTATAACAGATTACTGTGACAAAATAACCACAAATTCTTTACAGAACTAAACTGTACACAGTAGCATGAATAGTCCCATTCTAATTTCACAATTAAATCCTCTCTAACACATTATCTGGCTACCCTAAGCAATACTTCAGGCAAGTTTGCTAGACTGGTTTGCCTTATCAGAACATAACTTCTGAGGATTCTGCAAATTAGAGCTCTACATCTCCTCTCCTAAACGGTTTCCAACTTCCTCAAAATCCTTTCACCACTCTCAGTAATTTGTAGCTCACTCTCCGAACCTGAGGCGAAATTCCTTCTGAACCTTGCCACTAAAGAAAGTTTGTCAGAGATGGCATTAGAACTGACATTCCTTTTGTGTAGGATGACAGTGAAATGCCACTACTACATTTTCCATAATATAGCTAGAATTCTGAATGCCATCAAAGAGAATGTATAATGTCTCTTATGATCACTGAACTTTCAGGCGTCTCCTCAAATGAATCAGAACGAGCTTTTTCTATGCCACAAACCCATTAGTCACACTTCTTAAAGTATTTATAGAAGGTCCCTAGCAATTACAGGTGACACCTGTTTGGCTGCCCTATTTTGCTATTATGCGTATAATGTAAATTTTTGTGAGGCGCTTATAGTTAAGATAGATAAATTTATACTCTGCCTAACACTTTATGTTTATATTTGTCAGATATGCTTTGGTTTTATGCTGAATGCTCCAAATAATAAAACTGGGAAATTCAGCATAAGTGATATAAAGAATAACCAATCTGCACCGCGCTCATGACCCAAAAAATTCAAAATCCTTGAAGTCTATAACCACACACAGTCTTATGTACCAGCCAAATTAGTTCTGTGGGATCTATTCTATGTACATGGATAAAGTATTCAGATTCTTGCACACTTTTATCTCTTTTCCCATGACAGATTACTGAGGGATATTTCACCATCTCTGGCGGATTCCCTCATCTTTCCACATAAAATGGGTTTAAAATGAACAATCAAAACAGGTCTGTACACAATATGAATTTGATTTTTATAAAAGTAGGGCTCAGTTATCGAATTGCCATAATGGATTAGAGCAACAATTCCTCCAATCCAGTATCCTGGATGCAACACCAGATGGTTCACAAAAAGGTGCAAGAATGATGGCGTTGACAGTTATAAAATAACAGTCCACTGGGAAAGTTTCTTCTTAACCTCTTCTGAGCTTGTGTTATGCTTTAAAGCATGAAGGTTTATATCTTTTATCTTATCTAATATAACAGTGCATGTGCTCATTATCCATTTAAGAGGGGTTATTTTTTAATCCTAAATTCTTGGAATCAATGATACCTCCTGCCAATGAGTTCCAAACGCTAATGGCATAATGTAAACAAAGCATTTCCTTTTATTAATTTTAAGTTGTTAGTTTTTTCTTTCCCTGCAAGTTCTTCTCCTTCCCCTTTCCTTCCCTAAAAACAGCTCTTTTGAAAATATTTTTCTGCCTTTAAAATACTTTTATTTTTACATCCTTCTGGAATAAGCTAAACAGATTTATTTTATTATGAAAGCAGTTTTCTTTGCCTCACT